CTTTTGATTGTCCACAAAAGAGTCACGTCTATTCGTGATGAAGACCACGTGGCATATATGTGACGGTTTGTAATTTAGTGTATTAAATGCATTAAATCACAAATAATCACATGTATGTTACGTAGTGTGATTATCGGTAGTCTTTACTACCAATAGCATTACTCACAACAAAATAATAACAAGTAATTCGTCAGTGTCTGTTAGACACGTGTACAATCATTTTGGATGTACGATGTGTAGATTGTAATATGCTCTCAGTTGTAGAAAATGGAAGACGTCATATTTCATGTATTAGCATTTTAAGATATATTTTTGTGGAGAGGAAACCATATTAGACATTTGAGTGCCATAATTATTACAGGGGAAAAAAATGTGGTTCTTCTTCATGAGTTCATATATAATAAATTATTATAGGGGGGAAATTTTTCAAAACAACTTTTGTGTTTTCCGTGGTATCTTAATATCAGATTGCAATTTGTTTTAATGCTGATGCCAGGGTATCTTGACTTTCATAAAGGACTTCACAAATTTTGGAAAGATTACCCCAGAATACTCTCCTCACTTCAGCAATGAAGTTACAAGATTTTTTGAACGGTTTTATTCTCTCTCACCGGAGAGATAAATTTCGAAATTTTTATTTAAAATACAAATATTTTAGAACTTCATATGTTAATGTTCACGTGATCCTAGTGTTTCAAAGACAGTTACTTTACTGAATCAGGATACTATGAACATTTGTCTTATGTTCGGGAGTATGCAGTCCAGTCGTTCAATCTTCACAAAGAATGGGAAAGATATCATCAAAAGTTCAGAACATTTCAGAGGAAAATGACAGAAATTAATTAGACAATTCCTCTAGAAATTTGGCCTAAGATTGAAGATGACGCTCAATTGAAAACTCTTCCAATGAACTATGCTCAAAGGATTAGACATTCAAGCTCATATGGAGAGCTTGAGCCAAATTCACAACTGGAATCCAGTCATTCCATTTGAAGATTATTATTTTGACAACTATTGGAACCAATCGTATTTGGGATGACCAACACAGAGCCTGGGACAAACAGCCAAATACTCAGAAGATACTCACGAAGGACAACAACTCAGAGAAAAACTTTGAAAATGTTCTTACTACCACTCTTCACATAGGACGAGAAAACCCACATCTTACAAGGAAAAACAAGAAAAGAAAAACTGCTACAAGAAGGAACAAGTTCAAACCAACAAGCACCGGCAAGCCCGCCAGAATCTATGATATCTCAATTCCAAGAGTCCTAGGATTCATGGGATTACTCTTTTGACCCTGACAACCTTGAAAAGCTCCAACAACAAATTGAAGAATAAAAGGAAAGAGAGAAAAGTGAAAATATGCCATGGTGGAAAATACTAGGACTACCATCAGAGTTTGAAGATTCGGACGAACCAGCTATGGCAGCAATCCTGGGCACTCCATGTCGCACGAAAATACCAAGATCTAAAACCTTTGTCACTTTGTATGAGTTTCTGAAAATTGACAAAGTACTATTTAGTGTGTGTTTGGTAGGGATTTTTTATAGATTCAAATTGCGTGATAGAATGGAAAATAGAATCAAAATTCATGAGGCCTAGAAAAATCTTGAAAACAG